ACATTCTCTATTTATTATATAGTCCTATTACTAGTATTTACTCCATAGTATTTTCAATAATTATTACTCCTTCTCCATAATTATTTTGATTCTGCTATTACTCTATTACTCTTTCGTGTTACTTATCCCAATTGAAAAACAACAACAATGGCTCATGCAAGATTATGCCAAGTTGAACAGAATGTTATTGATGTTCAACAACAATGTAAAGTTTCATGTTCTTCACTCATCAGTTGTGAAGAAACTGAAAAATCATCAACTACCAAAACTCTGCAGTCCTGTCTGCAGAGTAATTCGAGTCCAAAACCTTCTCTCATCCTAACTGTGTGTAAGAATGGTAAGGAGTATTCAATGAGGAAGAGGGAAAACAAGTCCACAAAACGACCATCCAACAGATTGGAGGAAACTCAAAAATCCAAACGTCGTCACTTGGAAGACTTTCCTCTTGTTTTAACTCCAGTTTGCTCCTCTTTCAATCTTCAATCACAAGATTCAATTTACTCACCAATCATCATTACTCCATGCACCAGCAATTTGAATGATATTACCACAGAAATCTCTGGTATGCCTATTACTCCAAAGAGTTCCTCTGAAATAAGTGCTAGTTGTGATGAATTCTCTCAAAGCGATTCAGAAGAGCCGTCATCTGTTGCTACTGTTGATTCCCGTACGACTCAAAACACTAGACACCGTTCTAATTCTAATATTGTTCAAACTTCTTCTGAAGTTTCCACACCAGTCATTCCATTAACTAGTTCGACAATTACACCATACTCCTCCACAACAACTTGCTCCATAACCTCCCAATTCGATTCCCTTTCTTCTCCTTCCTCTCCTTTGTCTTCGTGCCATCCATCTGAAAATTACACTGATGACGAAATTAATATTTTCTTCAATAGTTGGATGGATTGTTACGAACTCAAAAAGAAACAATTCATTAATTCGAGAAATAAATTATAACAATTGTGAAAGACAATGTAATCATTTATGTCTGTTGCCTTACTTTCATCTTTAAGCCGCACCACTGTCAAATATACAAACAGCTTGGCTTTCAGATTGGTCAGAGCATAACCGGTTTTCTTGACGGCAACCCCAAAAAGAAGAGAAAGAAGATATTCAACAGGTTTAGGGGGTCGGGATTTTAATATTCTCATGTCTTGTTTACTATTTGATTGGGAGATGGCAGACAAAAGTTGCCACATTGCATACCAGCAGATTATTCTAAATGTTCTTGAGTTTCCCTTGTAAATGACGAAAAAGAAGAGAACATTTCCAAGAAATGGTTGTTTGAATTTGTAATTGAGAAACTTGTAACACTCTTCTGGATTCTTCCAAACATTGTAAAGAATAATTAAATTGTTCTCCTCACTTGCTTGTGAATTGCTTTAGAAATGATGAATGAATTTGAAAAATTCCAACTTACAATACTCTGCTGACGTCCTGAGTACGTCATACGAAAACATTTCTTACCAACTTGCTTGTTCAATGTTCATTCTCTTTCTATTGTTTAATAGTAGAAAAAATGCTTCAACAACCAACAGGTTCATCCTCTCAAGTTGATGAAGATGTTGATGATCAACCAAATGAAAATGTTTTAAATGATGTTTCGGAAAGAGTAGTTTCTACTAATAATGTAGATGAAATAGGACCATTTAAATTGGGTGATTCTTCATTGGATCATGTAACTGATGTTCCCGAAGATGTTTTAATTCTCATATTTTCATTCCTTGAATATAGGGAAATTATTTTAAATATTTCATTGGTAAATTCAACCTTTTTGTATACATCGAGGAATGATGCATTGTGGAAACAATTTATTAGAAATAAAAAATTCATCTCAA